TCATCTGTCGATGGACATCTTGGCTCTTTCCACAGTTTGGCTATTGTGGACATTGCTGCTATAAACATCGGGGTGCACATGCCCTTTCGGATCCCTACTTTTGTATCTTTGGGGTAAATACCCAGTAGTGCAATTGCTGGATCATATGGTAGCTCTATTTTCAACTTTTTGGAGTTTCTCTCTTTTCTAACCCGGGTCTCTGGCTTTGCAGATTCACAGCCCTGCTCTGATGAAGAAGGCTGCTCGGAAGTCTTCCTTCCCACCGACAGCGACTATGACTCCAGTGATGCTCTGAGCCCCCGAGACCTGGATCTGGTGTACCTGTCATCACACGACATCGCCCAGCAAGCGCTAAGTGGCCTAAGTGGCAGCGCCCCCGACGTCCTGCAGGTGCATGACATGAAGAGTCCTCTGGGGCCTGGCCAGGACCCCCGGGGCCGAGTCCCGGGGCCAGAACCTGACCACTCGTGCGCCGAGGTCCTCCACAGCCTGACACTCACCGGCTTCGCGTCCAAGAACCACGCCAAGATGGCGCCCGGCGCGTGGCCGCCGCTGGGCTTCCTGGGAAAGCGGAAGCCAGCCAAGCACCAGCACTACGGCGGCTTCAGCCGCCACCACCGCTGGCTGCGCATGCACAGCCAGACGCAGTCGCTGTCGCTGTCTGAGGGCGTTTACACGCAGCACCCGTCCCGGGCCTGCGGCCTGGCCCAGGAGCCCGCGGAGACCGAGCGGCTGGGCCCAGCCCCCGATGGGCCCCGGAGCCTGGTTCTAGCCCACACCACGAGCCTCCCTGAGGAGGAGAAGAGCTGCCTCCAGGACCCGCGGCCTGCGATACGCCGCATCTACGTGGAGCCCTACTCCGCGGCCCTGGTGGACGCAAAGCCCTGGGCTGCCTCGAGCCCGCCCCCCGGAGGCCACTCTGGCCTGCCCAGCCCCGCGGGCCCGGAGATGAGCCCCGAGGGTCCGACCACCTCTCCGGTGTCAGAAATACTCAGCAGCATGCTTTAGGGAGAGTTCCTGTTTCTCCGCACGTCCCTGCATTTTCCATTACCCTCCAGCCCGCCCCCACTGTGTCCCCATCCCTTTTCAAGTGGTTTGAATGTTAAAACTCCAAAAGTTACAGGTTCAAGGCCCTCTTTTCTAGAAAAGAGTTGGGTGGAGGTGAGAGTTGCCAGTGTTGTTCCCATTTCAGGGCATAGAAGAGCTTTTGTGTCAACATGGAGTCCTAGACACAACGGTGTAAACATGCCGATCTGCTGGGGGGCACCCGTGCCTGAGGCAGGGCTACCTAAAGAGCCAGCCTCAGTTCTGCAGCTGGCTCTGTAATCTGACCTTTGGGTTTAGGGCTTTTTCATGAATTTGTGATTTGTGCCCTATTTTACCTTTGCAAGACAAAGCTAGAAGCAAAGCATCCTCTACTTTTGCTTCTGGTGGTTACCACACAGCACTAAATGAATATATCAGTGCTGATGGATAAATTTGATTTGGTGACCAGTTGAGAACCCTGTACTTTGAGGGAACCCTGTAATTTGAGAGAAATGTCATTTAAAATTACACACCATATGACTCCCCTTTAATAACAAAAATGAGAGAGTCATTTTAGAGTTTTAGAGATGAAAATAAGATTAGCATTGTTTTTCCTTCCGTTGCAAACCTTTATAAGAGTTTAAGGGAAAGAAGCCCAGGTTGTATCTTGAGGGCACAAGGTCAAGTGGACTTGTTCTAGGTTCCCAGTCAGCTAAACCAAGTCATTCCAAAGTACAGGGTTCTCAACTGGTCACCAAATCAAATTTATCCATCAGCACTGATATATTCATTTAGTGCTGTGTGGTAACCACCAGAAGCAAAAGTAGAGGATGCTTTGCTTCTAGCTTTGTCTTGCAAAGGTAAAATAGGGCACAAAGCAGCCCTTTCTACACACTCAGCTCCCATTCAAGCATGGAAGTGGGCCTTATATTATTCCGGGTGCAGGGACATAGCTGAATTAAATGAAAACCTAGGTTAGAAACAAGACAAGAAGGGGGAAGAGAGAGATGAGCAAAAATGCATTTCTTCTACAATCCTAAGATAAGTAAGTAAAATGATAGTGGATCTGCTCAGATTCTTAGGTGTTGGAATGTCACTGAACAAGAAAGTGCCCTTCAGAGATGGCCCTGCAGTTGATGGAGTCTCTGCAGCCACACTGGCACATCTACTCACCTTTACATCACAGGTCACAGGACAGATTGTCCAGGACTTGGGCTGCTGGCTTCCGCTTGTCAATTTACCCCTTCCAAATCCATTTTTTGCCCTGAGATCAGCTGAACCATGGGCCTCAGGGAAAATCTTTCCTTAGAAGTCCCTGTCAATGGCTCCAAGGCTATGCTTTGAGACACCTGAAATTCATGCTTTGGTCTCAATGCCTCCCACCTGCCCTTCTCACAAATGAGAGACGCAAATCAAAGAGAAATCACACACTGCATATTCAAAAAAGGCCTGAGTCTTCTCTCATTTCCTGGAGCCAAGATTCATTCAGTTTACTGATACTCTAAATGGTCCTTTTCTGCTTCACAGGCATTTTGGTTAAATATTGCTCTTTATGGGCCCTACCCCTGTCCTCACAGTTCTACCATTCCTCCTCATGGGAGTTCATACAAAGTCCCCTGTTCACAATGTTATTCCGATCCCTTCCATTTTTAAAACATTTGATTTAAACATAAATAATTACCCTGGCGGAAAGGTACAGATTTGGCCCATGGCCTATGGTCATTAGAAAACTAAGGCCCAGAGCTCAATCTTTATTTTTTTAAGAGATTTTATACTCAGTGAACCCCCCCAACACACACACACACATATACACACACAAAGAATCTTGAGCAGAATCACTGTGGCTCCTTTTCCATGACTGCAAGGATGCAGTTTTCTTCTGTTCTGAGTGAATTCTATGTATATGGAGTGTTAGAACTAGAAAGGACCATAAAATTAATCTAAGTCCTTGTGTTTACAGATGAGACAATGAAAGTCGAGAGAGGTTAAGTGACTTGCTCAAGGTCACAGAGCTGGTTTAGTCTCAGAGTTAGGGTCAGAACCCAGAACCATTCCCTTCACAGTAGGCTGGCCCATTGGGAATCAGTACATACCGATAGTCAAATTTTAATTACCTATAGGCTACTTACCTAGTTTGCAGATTATCTTTTAATTCCAAATTCAACTCCTTTTCTCAACCTTTACCTAACAGATTTCCATTATCACAGAGCTCCTTGTTGCCAGGAAATACAAATTTCACATAATCGAAATCTAAGCTAAGTTAATTAAAAAGCAAATTTGAGAGAAATGTCATTTAAAATTACACACCATATGACTCCCCTTTAATAACAAAAATGAGAGAGTCATCTGCACTCAGTTTCTGCTTATTTCTAATTATGGGACAGATCATATATGTTGAAAGCTGGAATTGTCAGAAACTAAGAAACCAAGTGATTCTCTGATCATGACATTTCTGATCATGGAAGGAAGCTTGCGACTGTGAATTAGATGGGAGGCATTCAACAGGCAGCAAAAGCAGAGACTGACCCACCCTTCTGGCCCCTCATTTGATCAGTAAGTCCTGGCACATTGGACCAAATAATGACTCATGAAGTTAAATTGCATTAAACCCAAACCCACTAATTGATATTGAGAACACAGGTTATTTTTTCACCTTCTATGAGGAAAAGAGATGCACACCCATGAAATGAATACTGCACATTCGATTTCAATGGGCATAATGAGTCAACTTGAAAATGCATTTTCATAGCAATATTCCTATATAGAAGTGGATGTTATGTCCTCAGTAATTAGCCATTTGTTCAAGTAGGTACCCTCCACCTGTGTGAGCCTTGTTTAAATTAATAGATTCCTGTGAGAGACAATTATGTTCTCTAATTCACAATCCTTTATTTGTATGTCCAGGCCTCTCCTTACGGAGACTTTACAACTTCTGAGGATTTTTTTGTTTGTTTGCTTGTTTGTTTTATTTTATCTTGATGGTTTTGTTTTGTTTTGTTTTGGATATGATGGACTTTTGTCTTTTTTTTTTTCTTTCTTTTTAAGTCCAGTCTGGGAGCCTCTGGAGGAAACTCTCCTGTCCCATAATTTTTCTACCATACTTAACTCTCAATTGTATTATCCAGCTCTCATCATTTGTGAAAACCCTCAAAAATCAATGACCAAAGCCCTCCCATATGTCTGTCTCTATTCTAAGTCCCATGGAAAAACAAAAGAATCAAGAATGAAACACATTCCTGGGCCAGAAGGAGCTCACAGAGTGTAGCCATCATCACTGTACATCTCCTCATTGATGTTTTAGAAAACGCAAAAGCCTGTCTCCTCAGCCAGGCTGCCATAGGGCATGTTGGGCTAGACATCATTGATTTCACTCTTGCTGGCTGTTCATAAAGAAAGACAGCCTAGAAAACACAAGTCACCAATGTATACGCTTGGCAACCATTTACAAAGCTGTCACATTCTCTTAATTGGAGAGGAACTGGGAGACAGTAATTAAAAACATTTACTCTAGGGAATGGGTATTTTAAGAAGTGGGTACTCAAAGATGAGACCCAGTCCATTTTAAGAACATTCACTAATGCTCAAAGCAATAATTACACTGGATAAAATGGTTCCATTTGGTTTGAAAGTTGAAGCCGGTTAGTAATAATATTCCTCCAGCCCCCATTCCTGAAGGATCCCAAAGCACTTTATGAAAAGCAATGACTGAAGCCTTGTTGTACTCTCCTAAAAAGACCTTGTCTGGGAGCCACCTGGCAAACACCTACCTTATCCTTGCCAGGAGATCGTGCCAGACAAGTGGGAAAGAGGACTGGCCTCTCATTCATTGTTATCCTGCCACACAAAGGTGCACTCTGGTGAGCGTTCAGCTCTTCCCTTGAAGACAGCAATTTTAGACAAAGAGGCATACCAGAAAATCCTAACTCCTTGGCCTCCCCCTTGTTCTTCATGCTCTACCCAAGATGTACTCCCTTTCTCTTGGAGAACTATCAACTCAAGCTGTTAAGGGATCTGTCGTGGATTTAAGTTCCCTAGTTCTGTCAACAGCACACAGAAGTCACTGGCTTCTTAAAATTGATACTGTTGGAAAGATGATTGCATTACCCTACAGTACTCTCAAGTTTGTATGTAGCAGAACCAGAGCAGAAAGTGTCCATCTCTTGGTGTATTTGTTTATTGAATTATAGCATACCAGTTAGAGAGGATAGTTATAGGTTAACAAGACAACACTCTCAGAGAGTTGCAAGTCACTTTATAAAGTCGAAATATTTTCCCAGATGATTCAGTGACGCAAACCTGAACTTTTTTTTTTCCTGGTCATACCTTGAAGGAAAAATGTAAGGGAGCTATTTGGAAAGCAATGATACCTCTTCACAGGTAGTAGAGGGAACAAGGGAAAAACTTGTTTCTTTGCTGGTCACCTCTCATAAGATGTTCAAACACATGGCTTACGACTGTTAAGCTCAACTTCAATGCGGCCTTACAAACAACAAGGGTAGTGTATTTGAAGCTATGTTGCACAGCTTGGAAACTTATTCTAAGATCCTAATTCAGAGTTTTTCTGAGGTGTTGAACTTTGCCATTAGCAAAAAGTATTTTTAGAAAAATCCATTGACTGTTTATGAAGCACTGATTTTGCCATATTTCGGGTCTCTGGTTTTTCCACCACATCTGCACCCAGTGGGTTGTATTTGTTGTTTTCAGTTTTTTCTTCTACTTCCATTATTAATGAATTTGTAAAATGGTCATTCAAAAAGACAGTTGGTTTTGTTTAACAACCAGATAGATAGACGATGAAAATATTCTATTTTGATAAAAGAAGGAGGTTTGTTGTGGTTGTTTTAAGTATTACCCTAGGGTCCTTCCCCTCCAGATAACATCCTTTTTTTTTTTTTTGCCAATATTTAACTTAGTGGCAAATGTTATCAAGCTATTAGTTAATGCTCTTTGGTCCTCTTCCTTCAGTCCATGATGTGAAAGTC